TTATTCAGCTATTCAAAATGGTGTGTAACATAAAAGATGGCCTTTATTCCACTTCCTGGAGCTTAATCTGTGAACAATAAAGTCATAAAAGTCTAAATAAGTCATTTTCTGGACTGCCCTCCAGTCAAATTAAGAGATAGAGAGCATATTTGATGCTTTTGTTATGTGAAAGATTTAATTAAATTCCTTTGTTTAAACTATTAATTGCCTGTCTGATTCAAAATACAACACACTGCAAGAAGGGTCACATTTACCAGTGCACTGAATCCCAGGGGAGCCCAATCCAGCCAATTTACATGCACAAAAACCTTTCCAGATAGGAGTAGGTCCACTGAATTCTTTGCATAAAAGATTATAGATTTGGGCTGTTCAAAGGTAAGCTGTATGCTGGGATCTTAGCAACTGACCCTGCAGCCACTACACAGGCTAAACTCTGAGCAAAGTCAATAGGATTTTTGCCTGCATAAGTGACTCCAAGATCAGGTTCTAAAACAGACAATTTAATTTCTTAGAAATACACAAAAAAGTGTTTAAGGTTACATACAACAGCATTTCAAAATGCAAGTGCTGCAATGTGCTTATCAAATTCATAGACATGTACAGAGAACACAAACAAGCTCTATAAAAACTGTACACTACAAATATAGTATAGTATATACAAAATAAAATAAATATAGAAACTTCAATTAATATGGCAAACGAAAAATATTGCTTTCAGATTACTATAATCCTGTATTTTTGGACCTTGCTGTGGACAGTGGTGCAGGACAATTAATTTTTTCTTCAGAAGGTGATGTCCTGAAATGTACAGTGCAGGAAAGGTGTTTGAAGTGCTGTTCCAGGGTTTGCATGAATTTTAACACATCACCCCTTTTGGCTGTGTCTATACTGGCATGAATTTCCGGAACTGCTTAAAACGGAATACTATTCCGTTTTCAGTTTTTCCGGAAAAGGAGCGTCTACATTGGCAGGCTGCTTTTCGGAAAAGCCCTTTTTCCGGAAAAGCGTCTGTGGCCAATGTAGATGCACTTTTCCGGAAAAGAGCCCCAATCGCCATTTTCACGATCGGGGCTTTTTTCCGGAAAAGACTACTGGGCTGTCTACACTGGCCCTTTTCCGGAACAGTGTTCCGGAATAAGGACTTATGCCCGAGCGGGAGCAGAATAGTTTTTCCGGAATAGCGGCTGATTTTGTACAGTACAGCGTCGTTGCTTTTCTGGAAATTCAAGGGCCAGTGTAGACAGCTTGCAGCTTATTCCGGAAAAGCGGCTGATTTTCCGGAATAAGTGGCCCAGTGTAGACACAGCCTTTCAGTTTAAAAGCAAAACTGCACACTGGAATTTTGACTTTTGACTTTTTATTTTACTAAAAAGCTAAATGAGAGAAACCGTTAAATTAGGGCTCTGAAAATAGCCAGGGGAGGTCACTAGAATATTTTTAAAAGGATTTTTACTTCTTTTAGTAATTATAATTCCCAAAGACCCTTCTCCATTTTTAAGGTAATAGTCAACCAATCTCCTATTTAGAACTGAGCCATGGTGTTAACTAGGATTTGGGTGGTTCCCCTCCTTGAAAAGTCTAGACCTATGATTATCAGAATAGAAGGCCAGATTTCATTGAGGGGATCAGGTCCCTCCTCTCAGCACACACATGCCTTTTGTTAGAGTCTCCAGCCATCATTTGGAAGGGCTGAGCTGCAAAGGGGAAATCAGTCTCAAGACTATAACCCTCCCTTACTGCTATCAGCAGTGGCGCTACACTGGTGATGAGTTACAAGTGACAAATTTCCTAGAGAGAGACAGTCTACAAGGTATTCCACGTTTTCCCCCTCATGCAGTCAGTGCTCCTGCTAATATTTAAGGAAGCTGCTTATCCATATAAAGGGAGTGCATACTGTTCAATATTTTACTGCACGTTTACACTAGTTTCATTTTAAAAACTGCAAATTCCCATGGTTATGCAGTCTGTTCCCTTCTAACCAAGAAGTATTTTCTCCAGAAACAGACATTTCCCCCTCCCAACCTATAGCTTTTACTGGCAGTGGATTTCTATAGCCCTTACGATATCAAACAATTCTATATAAGGAACCTTTTGTCATCCCCCCAGACTCCTAGGCAGTGGACCAACAATTTTATTCAGCATTTTGGGTAGAAAATGATATAGAAGTGCAGCAAATTATGTTAAAAGTTAAATAATAAATAGGATGAGTTAACACTTCATACAGCTGCTCACAGACACACAGCTGTATAAGAGGTGAGCCTTTGGGTGAAATTCCAGCCCCACTGAAGCCAGCAATAAGACTTCTATAGAATTCAAGAGGGCCAGGAATTCACCATGCATTTTTATGACCAGGTTAGTCTCTTGTTTGCAGTTCAACTAGCATTACAATGTATGAGCAAATAGGATGGGGAATCATTGACGGAAACTATAGTTGTTAAAGAAACCATTTAAAGAGCAACTTGTCTGGGTTTTCTGGCACTCTGGTGACTATTAAAAAAACTGGCTGAGAACTTTTGTGGTCTATTCAATAACATAAGAATGGCCCTACTGGGTCAGACCATAGATCCATCTAGCTCAATGTTCTGTCTTCCGCCAGTAGCCAATGCCAGATGCCACAAAGGAAGTGAACATCTCCTGTCATCCATTTCTAGCCCCTGACAAACAGAGGCTAGGGACACCATTCCTACTCATTCTAGTAGATGAGAAACACATTTTGGTAACTGCACAGCAAATGCCTGTGATAAAATCTACTGAAAAGTGTAGTAAAAGCCTTTGAATGGTCTCTCAGAGTACATCTACACAGCAACATTATTTTGAAATAACTTAGTTTGTGTCTACACAGCAGGCAGTTATTTCAAAATAATGTTGAAATACTGTCAAGCTGGAGGACTTCTTACTCCAACTCCCATAACCCTCATTGTACGAGGAGTAAGGGAAGTCGGGGGAAGAGTGTTATATTTTGAAATAAATGCTGTGTAGATGCTCCCAATTTCAAAATAAGCTACGCAATTGATTTAGCTCAATTTGTGTAGATTATTTCAAGTTAAGCCCTGCTGTGTAGACACACCCTTAGAGAAACTGTTTTTTAAAACTGCTCTTCCTGGTAGCTTTTACTCTCAGACACATATTGTTATAAGGGCTGATCCAAAACTCTCTGTACTCAATGGGAATCTTTCCATAAGCTTCACTGAGAGTCAGATTAGATCCCAAAGGAAGTATAAATACATTGTTTCAGTCTACTATGCACAATCCCATTTTAGAAATAACAGGCTTGAGCGGAAGCATACAAAAGAAATTACCAGTTTTTTACCATTTTGTAAGTTAAATGACTTCAGTTATTTCATCCACATTTGCTAAAACCAATTTTGCCCCCTCAGCCAACAGCCTGCCTCCCAGAAGGATTAGAAACCTTAGACAGCTGGGATTTCTATAGACATGTTGACTGAACCTTCATTATAGTAACGTCAAAGGGTATTGCGGAATTACTATCAAATCATGTTAGTATGTGGCATAATGAATAAATACTGTTTCTGGAGAATGGTTTGATTTTTTGCTTTACAAGATGTTAGGATGGGTAACAGAGAACAAGGCATCTGGCAAAAACATTTCAGATTATCTTTCTTATAAATTGGGTACCTTGTAGGTAGAGAAACAGATTGGATCCTGCAGGATTCAAAGTATGTTCCTGGCCTGCACTGGTGACTTTCTATTGTTGTTTCTAAATTCAACATCTCTGGTAGAGTTTTATTTTAGGGAAATTGCTATTTAACTACTCCACGTGTTTGTTCACAAGGGTCTGTTTAGCCATATTTATAAAATTACTGTTTTGGAAGTACAATCTGTTTTTTTCAAACACGCCTTTAACTGACAGAATAATTTATGCTTAAGCCTTTGCATAAATGTCTAACTGTTACTCTGAATGGACAGGTATATTCTTCTATGTATATGTAGTTATTGTATAAAAAACTGCTACCTGAAATATTCATTATATTTATCATATCAATCTTGAATCTGGAGGTAAGACAGCCAATCAAAAGGAGTGCAAGAGCAGTTAAAAATTTTTCTAGAAAGAGCATGTTGTTCATCCACATCATTTTGTGGCTACATAACACTGACCAGCTAAAGAATTTCAAGGTGTCTCAGAAGAATGTTTTTAGCTGCTTAAGTCTTACTTTCTACTTTAATTTTTGTGAGCTATATGTTAGAACAGTGGGGCTGTGACACTACTTAACATAAACTTACTGACAGCAAAGCTACTATGATTGCAATACAGCTACTGTGTTTCTAACATTCAGTGATGTGCTTCAAAGCCTACATAGGATAACTTCTCTGTAGATTGGTTTTGATTTGCTGGAGAGGTGCAGAGATATGCATAGCAAAGTTATACTGTAGGAAAATGATTCAATCATATGGCTAGCATTCCACCCCCCCAACCAGGTATGTAGTGACACTATTACTTCTAGTGTGTCATGCAACTAAGCTAATTTTGGCAGAGAACAATTATAAATGTGTTTCAACACATTTTATAGTGACTCCATTAATGTGACAAAAATCACATGATACAATGATTACATTCCCAAAATGTTTCGGGACTACTTGTAAGCAAACATTAGCTTTGGTTCAAAGGAAAAGATACCTCAAAGCTTTGTTCTGAAAACCTGATATAGTTTCAATCAGAAGGGCTAACATCTCAGCTATGCCAAGACGAAGGGCCAAAAGAGAGGCAGTTGTAGCTTCGAAGGGCCAAAAGGATGCCAGTTCCTTAGTTTTCCTGGCATCCAGGATGCTCGTTTGCACTAGTTAGCACCCTCGTCTCATGGGGCAATACATTGACCAGGGATAGCCGAAGTATGTTACATTTTGGCCACAATCTCTATGTTGCAAAAACAACTAGGAGTCCCGGGGCACCCTGAAGACTAACAGATTTATTTGGGCATACGCTTTTGTGGGCAAAAACCGACATCTAACGAAGCGGGTCTTGGACCACAAAAACTTATACCCAAATACATCTAAAAACGAGTAGCTCTGTGGCACCTTAGAGACGAACAGAAATATATATATATAGTATCACGAGCTTTCATGGGCAAAAAACATTTCATCAGATGTCTTCAGGGTGGCACAGGACTCCTCATTCTTTTTGCAGATACAGACTGATACAGCGCCCCCTCTGATTTCTATATTGGCTATCGCAGCAGCAGATGGTATAGATCCAGCATAGTCAGATCCTGAGCTAACCAGGAATCCTCCTCAGGGAAGGGGAAGCTACTTTCTGCTTCCTCTGTGCTACTGGGAAAATGCAAAGGGAATGCAGTGTCTCTGTTCCCAAAGACTGCACATCACTAACCATGAAAGGCAAGTCCTTGGGACAGTTGTACACAACACTGCACAGAGAAAAGAAATATATAAGCTGTAGCTATTGGCTAAATGAAGCAGGCAAACACTAGGTATGGTCGATAAAAAGCAGTGTGTAGTTCTGGTGAAATGAGTGATGTGGGGCTCCTGTCACTTGCAAACCAATCTTAGACCTGTGCATCACATAAAACTTGCTCAGTTATGGAGACAAAGGAAACAAGTACTTCTCATGTCATCGCTTTGCGTATGTTCTGCCAGTGCTTTTATTCAGGCCCCCTTTTGGGGTAGGGATCTTGCTTCCTACAGCGGGAGATCGAACCTTTGTTCCCGTAGTACCTGATTTGGTTAAGGTTAATCCTGCTGCTTTGCCTGGGAAAAAAACATACAGATTATCAATCACACACAAATACAGCATCTCTCTTGCATTTCAGGTACATGCATTAGCTATAACATTGACAGAATTAATAAGATTCATTTTGAGGTGACAATTATTCGTGGGAGTGGTAACAAGAGACGGATTGCACATTTGAATCAACCTAGAACCCTAATTGCTAGAGTGCTACATCACAACTTGTTTCCTCCCTCGGTAAGTGTGAGCTGAAAGAACACGAGAGATAAAGACTACCTGTCACTTCCTTCTGTACCAAAGTTATGGCTAGATTAGCATCCTTAAATTGCCCCCCATCCCGCACTCCAGGCCTGAGGCATATTGACAGAATAAGCAGCTGCCTGTTCAGTTCATAGCATACCCTAGGATTTAAGAGGGCAGCTATAGCAAGGAGAATCTTTGGGGGTAATACTGCTCCATAAAACAAGATAAAATTTAAAATGAGGCAATTTTTCCACTCCATTACAACAGTGCATTTGTGCTGAAGTCTTTGAGATTGGCTGGAGTAACAGAGGATAATTTGCACTCTGTGCATGCTATTTCATACCAACACATAAGAAATACAGAGTATATATAAATATATAAATACTTGAATAATACACGGAACTGTTAGGGTATGTCTACACTACAAAGTTAATTCGAACTACAAGACGTTAGTTCGAATTAACTTTGATAGGTGCTACACATACAAACTGCTAGTTCGAACTTAATTCGAACTAGCGGAGCGCTTAATTCGAACTAGGTAAACCTCATTCTACGAGGACTAAGCCTAGTTCGAATTAGCTAGTTCAAATTAAGGGCTGTGTAGCCACTTAATTCGAACTAGTGGGAGGCTAGCCCTCCCCAGCTTTCCCTGGTGGCCACTCTGGGCACCACCAGGGAAACTCGTCTGCCCCCCTCCCGGCCCCGGACCCCTTAAAGGGGCATGGGCT